AAGGGATATTTATATGCATGCCTCGGAGCATGCATGTTATTGGTACAATGAGCAAAACTTAACACTTCTATGGGGATCTAAAAGAAGAAAGCAAATGTACCAGTGTACTGTTGGAGGCGATCAGCATCAAATGCCGATTTGTCATTCAGCAAAGCTTCCTTTAACCCCGAGGCAAGATGGTCATAAGTGAGATCCTTATCTATAGGGTTTAAGTAAAAAAAGACAAAGAAGCTTTTAAGTTAGGAAACCACAAGAACCGCAAAAAAGAGTGGCTTGAACAGTATTAACAAACAAATAAATTAAAGATTTGTTAACTGGTATTCCAAGTTTCAGATACCAAGGAATCAAATCTAACTTTTTTATCGCAATTTTTGCCATTGAACCATTTAGTTTTACTCATTTCAAGCATATCTCCACCACTCACACCAATTTCCCCTTAACTTAAAATTCAGGGAAAAAAATTATGATTGAAATACAAATGCTTCAAGTTTGTGAATAATAAAAGACAATAAATGGCACCACTGTTATGTCTCTGGAGCAAGGAATACAAAGGCTTGCAAGCACAACTATACTATTTATTAATGATTTAAAAACAATCACCTCCTCTGTTTCTCCGGGAAGGAAAGGTAATGAATCTAGAATGAGTTACTTTCCTACGCAAAATCCTCAATTATAAGCAGAACATAAGCCTTATAATGTTTTTGAAATGCAAATTTCACCTAATCTTAACGTGAATGCAGTTTCCTAGGAGACAAAATCCTAGAGACAAATTCATAATCAACAAAAACCATGGATGAAACATGAATCCAATTACACCACATGCAATCCATAAGAACACTGAAATTCATCCAAGAAAAGCAAAGAAAACAGCGTACCAGGCCAAAAGCAGAAATTCAAAGCATCCAAGACGAGGAGGTACTGAACCGTAAGCGGACCGTTATCAAAATAATGAATCCCTTCATAATCCCACTCTACCTTAGGAATCGACTCTTTGATGTTCTCCACAACCTTCTCAATCCCTGCATACACAGAAACGCATCATTCTATCTTCAAGTTCAGACCATTCCGACGACATTTTTTTTCAAAAAAAAAAAAAGTTACACGAACAAGACAGCTAACGGACCTGAGAAATCAACAGTAACATGGGAGGAGTGACGAGCCACCCACGCAGAGCTTGCCCTAACCTCGTCCATGGCGTCTGGCGTCTGCTGTGAGAAGTGAGAACCCTAGAAATTAATACAGAAATGGGAAGAGTGTATGTATAAGTGGAGACTACTCCAGCTGCGACCTGCGTTGTGAGTTGTGAACCACGTTTTTTTTTTGTTTTTTTTTTATTTTTATTCCTTATTCGAAGTTTCCCGCTTTTGTTTGTTTCTTCGGGGCGTTCGCCCTTGACCAAAGTGACTCGGAAGTCGGGGGTTCAGGCTCGGAATTCTGAAATGCGTATGGTCTGGGCCTGAAATTAGCAGCCATGTCTAGCACGGCAGACCAAGGCCACTGGTCAACGTGGTGGGTCGGTCGTGGGGGGATTTTCTCGTCACCTGCCTAACTTTTTTTGCCTTGTAAAACGGGGAAAGTAGCTTGGCAATTTGGCAACGCTGCCTCATGGAAAGGGGCGGTAACATTATAAGCCGTGTTTGTTTAGATTTATTAAATATAATTATAAATGATTTCATTGTATGTTTTGATTTAGTGATCGAGATTTTTAATGAAACAAAAATCATCTTTTATAAGTTGTATCTTCAAGATTTATAGATGATATTTTCTTTCTTTTTTAATTGCTCTGTTAAAAAAAAGTTATAAATAATCAATTTTAATTGAATAAATGAAATATTTTAAATTATAAACATTAATAATTAATAATTATTGATTGTATTAAAAAAATTAACCTATATAACTTAACAATTGTAATGTTATGTAAGTTTCAAAATATATAAACTATAATAAATAAACTTTAAATTAAAAAATTA